TCTAGAAAATAGAAATCTTGGGGCTGGATGTGGTGGCTCACGCCTGTAATCCCAACACTTTGGGAGGCTGAGGCAGGTGGATCACCCGATGTCAGGAGTTCAAGACCAGCCTGGTCAACATGGGGAAACCCCATCTCTACGAAATATACAAAAATTAGCCAGGTGTGGTTGGGGGTGCCTGTAATCAATCTCAACTACTCAGGAGGCTGAGGCAGGAGAATCGCTTGAACCCAGGAAGGGGAGGTGGCAGTGAGCCGAGATCGTGCCATTGCACTCCAGCCTGGGCAACAAGAGTGAAACTTCGTATCAAAATACATAAATGAATAAATAAATAAGTGTGTGTGTGTGTGTGTGTGTGTGTGTGTGTGTGTGTGTATAAATCTTGCTAAATAGGTCCAACAGCAGAAGGGTGAAAACAGGAAAGAATTAACTTGAAGACAGATTAAGAGAAATTATGATTCAAGCTGAACAACACAAAGAAAAAGGATTGAGAAAAAATAAAGATAGAGAGTGCCTCAGGGATGTATGGGGCAACACCAAAAGATCTAACATTTGTCTCACTGGAGTCCCAGGGAAGGAGAAAATGTTTGGTACTGAAAAAGTATTTGAAGAAATCATTGCTAAAAACTTGTATTTGACAAAAGACTTCGACCTATAGGTACAGGGTCAACCCAAAGAAATCCACGCCCAGAAACATCTGATTATGATTTTTTTTTCTTTATTTTTGAGACAGAGTCCACTCTGTCACCCAGGCTGAAGTGCAGGGTGCAACCTTGGCTCACTGCAACACTCCACCTCCTGCGTTCAAGCAATTCCCATGCCTCAGCCTCCCAAGTAGCTGGGACTACAGGCGTGCGCTACCACACCCAGTTAGTTTTTGTATTTTTTGCAGTGACAGCGTTTTGCCATATTTCCCAGGCCAGTCTCAAACTCCTGGGCTCAAGTGATCTGCCTGCCTTTGCCTCCCAAAGTGCTGAGATTGCAGGTGTGAGCCACCATGCCCAGCCATAATCAAATTCTAAAAATGGAAGTAAAAAATAATCTTGAAAGCAGCCAGGGAAAATTAATACACTACTTGGCGGTGGGGCAAAAATCTGAATAACTGAATTTCTCATCACAAACCATGGATGCCAGAAGGAAATATACTAAATATTTCAAAGTGCTGAAAGAAAATAACTATAAACCTAAAGTTCGATATTAGCAAAACTCTTTCAGGAATGAAGGTGAAATAAAGACATTTTCATATGAAAGAAAAGTAAGAGAATCTGTCACCAGCAGAACCACCCTGTTAAGTCCATGTAATCTCAGAGCCAGAACTCTCAATGTTTTTAAACGATGCTGATTACTTAGATATCAAGAGTATAACTAGGACAAAGAAGGATTTATCCAGGGAATAAAGCCTGGCTCACCATTAAGAAATACTATCATATTAATAGGTGATGCGTCATATGATCAACCTGATAGATGCTTCAAAGTATTCAACTGATATCCTTTATCCATTCCCAATTCATAAACAAAAATATTAGCATTGCACCAATGGAATGGATTCTCTCTAGAAGAATTCTCTCTAAAAACAGAACCAAGGAAAAGGTGCTTACTATTACTACTTCTATTTAATGTTATTGCAAAAGTGTAAGCAATATCACAACTGAAATGAGGGGAAAGTTTAATTTTTCCCAGATTGCTGGGAATACTCTGAACCCCTCTGTAGTGACTGAGCAACCCCAAACTTCTGGAAGAATTGGCAAAACCCAAGTTACCTGAAATAACAAGAAGAAATTGTTATTGAATTTGGTTTCCCTGAAATGAGTTATTTGCTTTGTGATGCTTGTTAACTTGCTGTATCGATTATATTTGAGAAAATGAAGGCTAATGTGAAATGCTGAGATGAAACTTATGATGTTGGCTCTGCCAAGCTGCAGCTTGTAACTCTGGCTCTGCTGAGCTGTTCTGCTAAAAACAGGAACTCTGTGAAAGGGACTAACAGGTAGCTTGAGTGCTGGAGAGAGACAACAGCGTGTAACGGGCTTCTCATTGCCGAGAGCCAAACGGACGTGTAATGGAGAGGCTTATTACCTAGATTCCTTTCCCAGGAAAGGCATATTTATTAGGGCCCTGGAAGGGGAATGCGATCCTTATGGAGAGCCTATAAACGGATGCGTGAGGGTCATCTGTCTCTGTGGTTGAGATAAAGATGTAAAAGTCTTTCTTCTCCCACTGCTCCTCCAGGCCTGCAGGGAGGCCCCCTCCTCTTGCAGTTGTTGTGGTCAGGCTGGTTGTCCTGTGTCAGCTCCTGTTCTGCCTGTAGCTGTGAGCCCAATATGTTCTTGCTGATAATCATAAGTTTACGTTTAACCTACAACCCTGCTAAGGTGTATGGTTTCTATGCTGACACACAGAAAGTTATCTTTACATTGTTCTGCTTTTATAATACCACGTTGTGATTTTTGTGCATCCGTTTTTGCAAATGTATTCTTTTTGTATAATGATCACTGAAACTTTGCGTAACTTCGCTTCCCCTCCCCTAGTGAAAGAGCATAATAAAAAACTGAGGTTTTCAGGGGAATGTCAGACATCCACGGAGCAGCTTTATGTGGTGTCTCCCCTGGGCCCAGCTTTAAGGAAAACTTTTTCCTTCTCTCTCCTTTTCACTGACCACTGGATCACTTTGAGAGATCTTAAACCCATGTTGATGTATTGGGAGCTGGTCTCGCCAATACCAGATGATATAACTGTCTACCTACAAAATGAAAAATGGTTAGGGTGGCTTCACTCAGAATTGATGAAGTATTGTGGGCTTGGAACCTGAGCATTATACATCAGAAACTGTAGCTCTTCCCGGATTAGACAATGTTTCATATCCTTGAAATTTTACTATCCCATTAAATAAGGACTTTATAAAGCACATAGCATTATGCTTGGAAATAATAAGGATCCAAGCTGTAACATTATTAGCTGTTACCATTACCATGATCACTATTCTATAATCAGCAACATACAACTCTCTCTGCCTTTCCTTTTTTCCTAAGCAAGACTTTCCAGTGATAATACTGGAAACATTCAATACTCCCTTAATGGTTTGGAATGCCTTTTCTGCCTTCCCTCATTAACTTATAGGATTTATGTAACGTTGATACTCATCAGGACGTGAACAAGAGTCTCCAGGCCAAGGTGTCTTGTCTGTCACAAACCCCTTAGTACATATGACTGGCCATAGCAGAGGCTGGGAGCTTGCACAGTATTGGTGTGTGGATGGAAAGGGGAAGTTGATTTATTTCTTTTCTCATTTTATATTTCTTCCATCTCCTGTGTAACAGTTAAGTTTCTCCTAACACCCAACTAGACTATTTCTAAACCCAGTTGTCTGGATTTTCTATTTAAACTCCTGCTGTACCCTACAATGCATTCTCTATATAGCAGTCAGACTGGTTTTATGAACATGATAAATCATTCATTCAATAAATACTTAACAAGTCAGGTACTGTTCTAGGTGCTCAGGATATAGCGATGAACAGAAAAAATTTCTGCCCTTATGAAACATATTTCAGCAAGAGAAAGGAAGACAGTAAGTAAAATACTTAGTATTTAAGTGGTATACCTTATAGAAAAACAATAAAGGCATTTAAATGCATATAGGGAACATGATAGGTGAGCGGAAAGGTCTGCAATTTTAAACTGGGTCATAAGAAAAGGCCTCACTGAAAAGGTGACATTTAAACCAAGACTTTAAGGGACTAAGAGAGGAAGTCATAGGACTATCTAAGGGAGAGCTTCCCAGACACGGTGTAACAGCCAGTGCTAAGGCTCTGCAGCAGCAGTGGGCCTGTCTTATTTAAGGAAGAATGAAATTTTTGAATATTTCTAAATTCATTATAGTATTTCAGATCAATTTCCTAGTAATGGAAGCAAAGATATGTGCATGTATTAAACATCAGTGAGACTCATGTGAGCATGCAGGTAGATAAAGACTAACGGTATATAAATTCTTGTGTGTTTCTATACATATGTACACATATATTTACACGGACACACATACATATACACAGAGGTAGTCACCTAGTACATCTCTGAATTTTTTTTTTTTTGAGACGGAGTCTCGCTTTGTCGCCGAGGCTGCAGTGCAGTGGCACAATCTTGGCTCACCGCAACCCTTGCCTCCCAGGTTCAAGTGATTCACATGCCTCAGTCTCCCAAGTAGCTGGAATTACAGGTGCATGCTACCATGCCCAGCTAATTTTTGTACTTTACTAATGGGATTTTACCACGTTAGCCGGGCAGGTCTCGAACTCCTGACCTTCACCTGCCTCAGCCTCCCAAAGTGCTGGGATTACAGGAGTGAGCCACCACGCCCAGTTGAAATTTTTTAAAAATCACACATGAAACACAGACAGTGGGCTCCCATGTTTAGAGATGGTTAGGGTGGCTTCCTGGAGAGCTAAAAAGATTATAGAATCCCCAACTGTATTTTTACACATAATATTTGTTAGTGGGTTTCTAATACTTTATACATGTTTTTAATTTTTGTTTCCTTCATAACTGAACATCATCAAATGATTTAAATCTAATTACCAATGATGAGAGACTAAAAGTCACTGCCTCCTGCATTACTAATAATTTCTATCTTTTCTTAACATTAGCCAGTTTACAATGATCATGCTGGTACCAGGGACAGCACTTCTGGATTTGCAGTTTCTACTCATCTTTTATAAAACGGGAGCAAAAATCTAACAAAGCTTTCAACTGTACCAAGCTTTAGTACAGAAAAAAAAGAAGTGATGCTGAAAAGAAAATTAGGCCAGGATACAGAAGTTTCTAGTTTTACTAAAACTAGAAACTTTAGGATATAAGAAGTCACAGCAGGTCAAGGGATGAAAGTGAGAGTTCGCATTAAACTCGAAGCAAAAAGCCAACAAAACAAAACACCTGTGTTCAAATGCTGGCATATTATTTCACCTTTTGGAGCCAATTTCTTCCACCATAAGAGGCGGAGCAGCACTTACCCATGGATGTGTGTGTCAAGTAAGTGAGATGCTGGCTGGGGAAGAGCCCAGCACGCGCTCAGTCAATACTTTCTCCTCTTGGCTTGGACAGGATGACGAGAGGACGAATGGGCAGGTTAATCTGGTAGCAATATCCAAGAAAATCTAGAAAGAACACGATGGAGTTTGCACATCATCAGCTTCTATGGGCTCCTTTTCATTCCTCAACTTTCGCCTATCTTTAGTTTCTCCAACTGCGATGTACACCTCTCTGTTCTTTTAGATACACTCAAGTATTTTCCTTGTTAGAAAACAAACCACAGACTTCTTCTGAGTTCTTACTCTTTCTTCCTTTTCCTTCAAAGATGACCTTGTTGAAATGACAGTCTGTACTTAAAAGTCTTCACTTGCTTCTTCTCCTTCACTTTTCTGCACACAGCATCTCTCAGCACTAAATGGGCTCTTCCCTGGGTCCCAAGTCACTCCCGAGTCACCAAGCCTAGCAGGCATTTTCATTCCCTGCTTGGCACTGTCATACTCCGCCTTGGCTCTCCTCTCTCTCTTTGACCCTGTTCTCTGCTGGGTCCTCTCCTCCTCTTTGGACCACTCACCTCTGCCAGAGCCTCCTTGGCCCCCTCAATATGTTATTGTCCTGAGGGTCCCACCCTTGCTGTTTTGCCCTGCCCACTCATTTGTTCATCCCAGTCATCTGTATTGATATGAATTTCACAAAATCAAATTTATATTTTCACCTGATTTCTGAAAATTCTACTTCATATCATTCAATATTCACTCAACAAATACTTAACTACTTACTCGAGCAGAAAATGTTGTAGGCAGGGAAGGTAAACAACATGTTCAAAAGAGTTCAATGAGCCTACATGTTCGTGGGTAGACGACATTGAAAATGATGAGTAAAATACAGTGTGAAATGCAATTTAAAATAAAACAAGTGAAAAGGCTTTAAGTTCCAACCCAGTGGGGAATCATGAAGGGGGTAAGGAAGTGGGAGATGAAAACTCATATCAAAATGTATGTGATTGCTTCTGCTGCCTCCAGAAAACCCACCAGAATGACAATAACCAATGAAAATGACACAAATAAAATAATCTAGGGAGCAAGGAAAAAACTGCTGCACATACATACCAGAAAACCAGAAACAAAAACCTGAAATATTCTCAAACAGATGAGTGAACTTCATGCATGCATTAGAAAGACTGCTATGTAAGAAGAACACTCAGAGAATGAGAAAGTGGCTCACAGAAATAAATAAAAAAAAAAATAGCACAAATAGATGTTTTCACAAAAGAACTGAAAGGTAAGGTTTACAGAAATCTTCACATCTCCTGGCACTCTCCCTTTCAAACAATGCCACGTCATCTCCTACTTCAGGGTTTTCGCACCTGCTGTTTCCTGTGCCCCCCAGTGTTCTCCCATGTGGCCCGTCACTTTGAGTAGTTGTTCAAAAGTCACATTAAAGGAGAGGCCCTCCCTGACCACCCTGTGAAATCATGCTCTCGTTAACTACTGTAGTTCTCTTAGGCTGCTGTATTCTTCCACATCACACGTACCGCTGCGGTACATGCATTTCCCCCCTTCCTGCCGCCTTTCCTTTCCATTCTCTCCCTTCCTCCCTTCTTTCTTCCTTTATTAATGTATTCTCCTTTTATTTACTCCTCATAATGTGCCACCTCCCTGCAAAATGACCTAAGTGAGCCCTAGGGAAATGAGGCCCATCAGTAATGTGGAGGTATCATCTGAGAATACACATCTAGTGGCCCTAGTCTCTGCAGAGACCCAAGAATCTCTGAAGTGATTTTCCCCAAAGAGACACATTCATGTAGCAAGTCTGTGCAGCCTGGCACTTACCTTGAAAGCCACCCTCAGGCAGTTCTTTTTTCATCAGGCTCAGTTCTTCTCGGTCCGGCTGGGAAGTCACATTGGATTTGGAAAGGTAATTTCCTGCTTGAGAGGAAAACATTAAATTTGGGTTCTGAACTAAGTCTAAACACCAATCCTAGCACAGTTCTGATCCGTTCTCCCTCAGGGCTTCTGAAATAAGGAAGGTGTGGCTTATGAAATTCCCATTTTCCATTCTATACAGAAAAGATCTTCTGCCTTGAAAGAGAGGACACCAAACAAACACCCTAAAACAATGCCTTATGATCAGAGACTTTCAGTCCAAATCCATAAATTTCAGAGGTCACACAGGAGGTATTATAGGGGAAAATTTGCAGTTGAGGGGGGAACGGTGTCAAGAGGTAGGTTTTGAGTTACAAGAAGTCCTTACCCAGTGAAACCAGGTTCTTGTACTTCTCCAACATGACGTTCTCATACACTGTCATTCTCTGAGCACAATCTGGTTGAATCCACTCTTCCCAAGAGAAATCTTGAGACACATCCTTTAAGGTCACTGACTCCTGAAAGTAAAAATTGCTCAGTAAGGGATTATTCCAACAAAATCCCTGAGGGAAGCGAAAAGCCAGCAGCACTAGAAGGACAGGGCACAAAGATCTGCATGAGGAAACATGCTGCCTTCCAAATGGAAGAAGATGTCTGCGAGGAATCACAAAATAACCAGAGACATAATATAAAAAGAGCTCTGGGAGTTAAGGTGAGGAAGAGTAGGTGTAAGTGAGAAATAGGGAAGGGCACTACAGGCTGCTCTAGATTCCCCTGGGAGGGGAAGGGGGGCGGGGTGTGATCACCTCCTATTCACCCTATTGCTGAAGGAGGAAATCCCTGCCCTAAACAGTACACGATGACCAAACACAGGACACTTGACACTGAACAGATGACAACAAATTACTGGCCACATACGGTCGCGGCCCAGGGGAGGAGGGCACCACATGCCATTCGGGGTCATAAAGGGGTTAACATTCAGGAACCTGGTGAACCAGCAGGGACTATGGGAGCAGGCTCTGTAGTGACAGGGGATTGGGTGACCTTTGGTTACCATGGGAGGATGTGACTTGCTTGTTTGAATAATCCCACAGGCTGGTAGGGAGGTGAGACCATTATTAGGTTGAGGACAGGGTAGGCTGTATCTGGCCCAGCTGATGGGGGAGCCAGTGGGTCAGAGAGCTTTTCCTGGTGGGAAGAGGCACATCTGACAGGAGCAGGGGAATTCACGGCCAGGTCTCACTGCCTGACTCACTGCCCTAGAGGCTCCAGGATGTCAAAGGAGCACAAGTGGGAATTCCAGTTAATGGAGGAAAGCACGTATAAACAGGGAAAATCTAGAATGTGGTTGTTCTGTGACAGAACCAATAACAAATTCAGCTATACTTGAAACTGGCATTTCAAATGTGTAAGTCCACCGCAGCCTTGTTCTCTAGCCCTTAGCACAGGAACTAAAATACTGGGGGAAGATCCAAGATGGCCGTTTAGAAACAGCTCAGAGTTGCAGCTCCCAGTGAAAATGCAGAGGGTGAGTGGACGCCACATTTTTATCGCCCATGGACCGGGAGATTCCCAGGCGGAGGAGCCCCATGGTCGCCAGCGTGGCTGGCAGCGCGGTCGGCGTGGCTGCTTTGCCCCACGCGGTTGCTTTGTCGGCAACCCGGCCAGCTGCTCTCCGTACAAAATACACTGGTCCGGGTGCCCTTTTGGCTGCCGATTGGAGCCCCGGGACGTCACCCATTCAACTCATTGAAGAGGGGACTGAAGAGGGAGCCAGGCCAAGAGATTCCTGGGCAAAAAAAGTGCCACTAATCTCAGCGCCGTTGTTTAAGCCGACACAGTGAGTCACCGCAGGGGAAATCACACAGATCCTGGCGCCGTTTCAACAGGCGACTGGAATATCTGGGATAAAAAAGAAAAAAAAAAAAGCTCTGAGGCAGGGAGCCAGGTGATCAGGCTCGGCTGGTCCCACTCCCACAAAAGAACAGCAATCAGAAACTCTGGATTGAGAGTTTCACAGCAAGCACAGCTGAACCCAGGACGGTCCAGCTCTGTGGGGGAGGGGCGTCCGCCATTACCGAGGCACTCCACCACTACAGAGGTAGGCCGCCATTGCTGAAGGCAGCCTACCGTTGCCAAAGCAACCCGCCATTGCTGAGGCTGCCTGCTGTCACCAAGGCAACCCGCCTTTGCCAAGGCAACCTGCCATTACAGAGAGAGTCCGCCAATACATAGGCACACCACCATTGCCAAGGCAGTTCTAACTACACCCATAGAAACAGGACTGCAGGGAAGTTCACACGGCAGCTGGGCAGAGCCCACAGCAGCTCGGCAAAGCCTCTGCAGGCAGACAGTGACTAGGCTGCCTCCTTGCTGGGCAGGGCAGCCCTGAAACAAACAAAAAAGGCAGCAGCACAACAGAAACTCATAAATAAAGCCCTAACTCCCTGGGACAGAGCACCTGGGAACAAAAAGCGATTTATGAGTTCTGCTGCAGCAGACCTAAACGTACCTGCCCAGCAGCTCTGAATGAACAATGGAGCTCACAGCTCAGCACTTGAGCTCCTATAAAGGACAGACTGTCTCCTCAAGCAGCTCCCTGACCCCTGTATACCCAAAGAGTCACCTCATAAAGGAGAGATCAGACTGACATTTGGCGGGTATCCTTCTGGAACAAGGATAGCAGAAGAAGAAACTGGTAGCAACCCTTACTGTTCTGCAGTGGCTGCAGGTGATCCCCAGGCAAGCAGGGCCTGGAGTGGACCTCAGCAGTCCTACAGCAGAGGGGCCAGTCTGTTAGAAGGAAAACTGAGAAACAGAAATAACTTTACCATCAACAAACAGAACGTCCACTCAGAGACCCAATCTGAAAGTCAGCAACTATGAAGACAACAGGTGGATAAATCCATAAAGATGGGAAGAAACCAGAGCAAAAAGGATGAAAACACCTGAAACCGGAGCACCTCTCCTCCTACAAGGGATCACAACTCCTCACCAGCAAGGGAACAAGGTTGGATGGAGAATGAGTGTGAAGAAATGACAAAATCAGACTTCAGACTTCAGAAGGTGGGTAGTAAGAAACTTCTGTGAAGTAAAAGATCATGTTCTAACCCAATGCGAAGGAACTAAAATACTGTAAACATTTAATATCCATTTCATGAGGGAAAACCCAACTGAGTGGTGGCTACTATAAATGGTAACTGACATTTGTATTCAGTTTTTACTAATAGGAGATTCACGTCTCACCTCATTTAACCCATAGAAGAACCTGCTAGATCGATAGCACTAATCATTTTATAGATGAGGAATCTGAGGATTGAAGACATGAGATATCTTACCCAAGATCACACAGCTGGAACTTGAACCCAGCTCCCTGTGGGCATCCGACTCCCTACGTTGTGAGATAAGACGATGGCCAAGAAAAGAACTGTGGCAAGCAACAGAATCAGAAAGATGAAGGAGATTCACCCAGAAGGTCAGGGGAAAGAGAGATTCAGGAAAGAGGTCAGGGGGGTCAGACAAATAGAACACGAACGGAAAAGAGAGCTCCTGATGTAAACACTTGCATTTTTTTTTTTTTTTTTTTGAGACGGAGTTTCGCTCTTGTTACCCAGGCTGGAGTGCAATGGCGCGATCTCGGCTCACCGCAACCTCCGCCTCCTGGGTTCAGGCAATTCTCCTGCCTCAGCCTCCTGAGTAGCTGGGATTACAGGCACACGCCACCAGGCCCAGCTAATTTTTTGTATTTTTAGTAGAGACAGGGTTTCATCATGTTGACCAGGATGGTCTCGATCTCTCGACCTCGTGATCCACCCGCCTTGGCCTCCCAAAGTGCTGGGATTACAGGCTTGAGCCACCTCGCCCGGCCAACACTTGCAATTTTAGCAGTGTGGTGGAGGCAGAAGTGAGTTCATAGTGGACAGAAGCATAAATAAGACATAACGAATCAAAAACAGGCTGAGATTATGGCCCATGCCTGTAATTCCAGAACTTTGGCAGGCCGAGGCAGGCGGATCACCGGAGGTCAGGAGTCCGAGACCAGCCTGGCCACATGGTGAAGCCCTGTCTCTGCTAAAAATACACAAATTAGCCAGGTGTGGTGGTGGGCACGTGTCATACCAGCTACTCAGGAGGCTGAAGCAGGAGAATCACTTGAACTCGGGAGGCAGAGGTTGCTGTGAGCCAAGATCACGCTATTGCACTCCAGCTTGGATGCTGGATGACAAGAGCAAAACTGCGTATCAAAAAAGAAAAAAGCCAGATAAATTACTTTTTCTTTTTTTTTCTTTTATGCTTTTTTTTGAGATACAGTCTTGCTCTGTCACCCAGGCTGAAGTGCAGTGGCGTGATCTTGGCTCATTGCACCTCCTTTTCCGGGGTTCACGCAATTCTCCTACCTCTGCCTCCCAAGTAGTTGAGATTACAGGTGCCCACTACCACCCCCAGCTAATTTTTGTATTTTCAGTAGAGATGGGGTTTCACCATGTTGGCCAGGCTGGTCTTAAGCACCTGCCCTCAAATGATCCACCTGTCTCAGCCTCCCAAAGAACCGGGATCACGGGTGTGAGGCACTGTGTACAGACAGATAAATTACTTAAAGCTTTTTGTAAAGAAGCTGAGAGTAGCTGGGTGCGGTGGCTCACGCCTGTAATCCCAGCACTTTGGGAGGCCGAGGCGGGTGGATCACGAGGTCAAGAGATCGAGACCATTCTGGCCAACATGGTGAAACCCCATCTCTACAAAAAATGCAAAATATAGCTGGGCATGGTGGCGCATACCTGTAATCCCAGATACTTGGGAGGCTGAGGCAGGAGAATTGCTTGAACTTGAACCCAGGAGGTGGAGGTTGCAGTGAGCCGAGATCGCGCCACTGCACTCCAGCCTGACGCCTGGCGACGGAGCAAGACTCTATCTCAAAAAAAAAAAAAGATGCTGAGAGCAAGACTATGGAAATAAGAATAGGTAACAGAAATAAAGCAACAGAAAAGGTTTTCATCATTTAAGGACAGAGCATTTTGATCTGTAAATAAGCAAAGGGCGAAAGCACAACTGACTCTTGAATACATCGGGGTTAGGGACAGCAACACCCCTCACAGTCTAAAATCCTCGTGTAACTTTTGACTCCCCCAGAACTTAACTCCTAACAGCCTACTGCTGACTTGAAGGCTTACTAATAACATAAACAGTTATTTCACATATACTCATTAAATGGGAGCGGATCATCATAAAGGTCTTCATCCTCATCTTCACCTGAGACGGCAGAGGAGGAGGAAGGAGAGGAGGGGTCGGTCTCGCTGTCTCGGGGGTGGCAGAGGGGCAGTAAGTGGCAGGAGAGGCGGGCACACTCAGGGTAACTTTTATTGGGCCACTTTTATAAAATCTGCCTCAGCGTGGGCCTGTGTAATTCAAACTTGTGTTATTTAAGGGCCAACTGTAGCAGAAGGCGGAGAACAATACAAAGGAGAGCAAACTCCATTTCCAAGAAATTTGTGCACTTTGTATCCAAGACCAAGAACTC